CTGTTCCCATCCCCCCAATTCCCCAGTAAAAGTCTTTTAAAAAAAAAAAAAAAAGAAGAGCTAGGGCCTTTTTGAGCTTCTTTTGTTCAGCCCGCTCCAAACTCTCTGGAGTGTACTTTCTCTTCTAATAATGGCTCTTGAGCAATTCTCTACTGCTCGGGCCCGCTTCTGCTTCTTTGAAATGTATGTTTTCTTCTAATAAACTGTCCTTTTGTGCAACTTTAAAAAAACTAAAAAAACAAAGCACAAGCTAGAACTGAGGTATAAAGAGGGGAGTTAATTCTAAGTCTTTTGATTAACTGTATTAGTTAGTTCTTTACTGGAAATGGGTCTTCTACGTAGAATGGGATATTTGAAATGCTTTTCTTATATAATGAATGTATAAGAGGTAATGAAATATTATTTCATGGATGATATAGTTTTGATGTAATTTTTAAAGACCTATTAAGTTTGGGGTAAATAAAATGTTATCCTGTTTTAAATGTTGGCTGCAGCTTTTGTGACCCTTCTCTAACTTTTTCAGAAAGGACTTTGATTCAGATTATGCCTCAAGTCTATTAAGATCAAACAGTGTCTCTTCAATCATGGGATTTACAAACTAAAAATAAAGTTATTTCTAAATCCAATATATATCAAAGAGATGAATAAGAGAAGAAAATTAGCAATTAGTCCACAATATCCAATGTTTGACTACAAACAGCAGAAAATACTATATTAGCAGATCAAAAGACAAAACCTTGTAGAATTTCACTGGTTGCCTACTAAGCACCCATTTCCAGCATCCAGATTTTCTGTGGAGAATGACTCTCACCGGACTGTGCAAAAGCCAAACTATATGAAGGTTCCTGACTCCATCCCCAGATCCAGGAACTAAAAGCCTTACTGACTGGTCAACACCATCAGGAAAATTCCACTCCTTTGTCAGTTATTGGTTCGTATATGAACACAACTCAGGCCTAAACCAATCAATAAGTGACATTCTCCTGGACTGTTTTGATGGTTAAAGGACAGGTAGCCTCTCATCTACAATGGACCTGAATAACAGCACGTAGTTGCTCTGCTGCTCACCATCACCCTTGATGAACAGCCAGCATTAGGAGAAAGGCACCATGCAGGACAGGAGTGGGAAGAGACAGAAACTGGGTCCTCGAGTTACTAGATTAAATAACCTAGAAGTTCATTCTACCCTGTGCTGTTTTAAGACAGTTTAAGTTGTGTTCTAACAACCAAGAGCATCCTAATATCAAACTTAAATTATGGAAAGTGTTTATTCAATAATGTATAAAAATATAAAAGTGGTACAAATAGGGACATCTGTAAACTGAACAATTGGGAAAAAAATATATATATAAAAAATGGAAAATACACTGTAGTGTATACAGTGAGGGACTATATCTGAAAACCAGAAAAATACACACACAAAAACCATTATCAAGTTTAAGAATTAAGTGCAAATTTACAAAAGATTTTTGTAAAAATGTTTTTGCCAAATGAGTCTGTGTTATGAAAGAATTAAACAAAACTGAAATCACATAGAAAGAATAAAAGGAGAATTATCGTTTAATAATCTGTGATACTCATAAAATATAAATTTTATGAACCAATCAGGAGGATACAGCACATTATGGCAATTGAAAATAACATGGAAAAAAATGAATTTATTGAATGATTTATATACTATCAAAATGATCATGTAATTTAATCTCTATAAAAAAGGAAAAGATTATATTAAAATATTTTTGGTTATTATCAATTAGCTCTAAATACCTTGTATCATTATTTTTTTTTAAATGCCAATGTAAAAGTCACCCTCCTTAAGATCTTCAAGGGTAAATACAATCAGGAATTTTCAAGTTATAATCCTTCTGCCCCTTATTGAATTTGTTATTGTTGTTGCTTCTCCATAAAGCTTCAGTAGAAGCTTTCCTTTGAACAAACTACTTCAGGACTTTAAAAAGTGAACAGGTTAGTGGTTGCCAGGGGTTAGGGATCATTGGAGAAGAAGGTGGTATAACTATAAAGAGGCAGTAAGAAGATCTTTGAGATGATAGGGTAGTTCTGTATCTTAATTGTAGAACTATACAAATCTACAAATGTGATAAAATGGCATAGAATTATACACACACATTGTACCAATGTCAATTTTCCAGTTTTGATACAGACTAAAATTATATAAAAGGTAACCAATGGGGGAAACTGGATGAAAACTACACGGGACCTCTTTGTACAATTTCATGTGAATTTATAATTGTTTAAAAAATAAAGTTATATAAAAAATTTTAAAACTGATAACTACTTGTTAATGTCAAAACAAAATAAGTATTTGCAGGAGGCACTAAGTATAAAGATTTAATTTACTGTCAGATAAGTAAATTTTACTTTAAATAGTCTGTTATTAGTAAATGCTTAGTCTTGGAAATTTATTTCCACAGCTGAGGGCTTACCTAAAATTTTCTTCAGAAATGTACACCCCATTTTTTTCACGGGCTGCAGCAAGATCTCGTTTCAGACGCTCTATCTCTTCTGTATATTCCTACACAAAAAGAATGTTGTGTTAGTTTGGCACTTAATTTTGGGGGGAGGATATGCAACAAATTAAACAAAGTTAGCCATTTTACATTTTTTAAAGCATTAAAAAGTATGATATAAAGTCATAATCATACTTTTCACTTAATATTAACCTGTTTAGAATAGTCTTTCAACAGCTTTCAAAGATCTTTTAAATGTACTCAGTATAAAAGTAGGGGCTTCTGAAGAAAAAACACAACCTCCAGTACCCATGGCGATCTCCAAGTATCATTTCACAATAAAAAGAAACAGGATTCCTTAGAGAAGTGTCTAACTCTAGGACTGAGGCAAGAAACATTAAAGATGAACCTGGGACATCTTGTCAAATAAAATAGGAAGAAAGCTAATGAAAAGGACACAGGAACCCATTTGAAGAGGTCACCGTCAACCAAAGGTGGGACAGCTTCAACATCAGTGAGGATAATAACTACAATGGGTTAACACAAATATTTTAAGTCCATGAGTTTATAATGACATTATGAAAGCTAGGAAACCAACTCATTATTCTCAAATCTGTCCAATTAAAGAAATGTTGCAAGCATTTTTCCTGCCTTTTCTTTTAAGAATTATACCCGTGGGATGCTGAGAGAAAGCTCCTCTTTATAGAAGTAGTTTAGCAATCAACTAAGAAAGAACAACTGAATAAGAAAATTACCATTTTACAACCCTTGAAGAACTAATGGATCAAGTCAATGAGTATCATCAATTTCTCACAAAAAGAGAGAGAACCAGACATGTGCTTCCTGGTGGAGAACATGCCACCATCTATGAAATAGTTTTGCAAAAAATACAAAAATAAGATAAAAACTGAATCTACGAAGCCTCCAGATCCAACTACCAATTTATAGAAAATACAAAGAATAGAATATGTCAAAAGATACTACAGGACAAATACAGATACTTCCACAAATTATAGGGGAAAAAAGATGGAAGGAGAATCGATGTAGACAAAAATGTAGCCAAAAATTGCAAAGGGTAAACCTTATTCGGATCCTAAATCAAACTAAAAAAAAATAGATATACACTGAAACAGTTGGAATTTTAAACGATGACTGAATATTTTAAAGAATTACTGTTCAATATTTTTAGATTTAATATCAATAGGGTTTAAAAATTCAAGTATCTAAATAAAATAAATGCTCATAAAAGAGCCTGATTTTTTAAAAAGTAATAAATATAAAATCAATGTAGTTTTTCTCAGGGTCTGACAATTTGGAGATCCTTTACGAAGAAAGAGGTTTCTCATATAAACTTCCTTTTAAACTGTCTACCTGATTCCAGGAGTTATCACACAGCTACAGTGGTAATTAGAACTTTGTGGTATTGGTGGAGGGACAAATGTATAAATCAATGGAACAGAACAGAGAGTTGAGAGATATGCTCAAACAAATATACCCAACTGATTTTGAAAAATCAGTTCACTGGAGGAAATAAAGCCTTTTCAACAAAGGATGCTAAAGCAATCCAGACCACCCTCACGAGTGAAAAAAATATAGCTTGACCTAAGTCTTACACTTTATACAAAAATCAATTTAAAATGGATCATGGACTTAAATGTGAAATGCAGAAATACAAAAGTTTCAAAAAAAAGGAAAAAAATCTTCAGGATCTCGAGCTAGGCACAGAGTTCTTAGACTGTGAAAAGCGCAATCCACAAAGAAAAGAAAAAAAAAAGGAAGGAAAATTGATAAAATAGACCACATTGAAATGAAAAGCATTTACTCTGCAAAACCCATACGAAGAGGATGAGAAGATCAGCTACAGACTAGGAGAAAACAACTGCAAACCACCTTTATAATACAGGACTAGTATCTAGAATATATTAAGAACTTTCAAACCACAATAAAAAACCCAAATAATCCAATTAGAAAATAGGCCTAAAGACATGAACAGACATTTCACCAGAGGATATACAACCAACAAATAAGCATATGAAAAGATGTTCAACATAATTAGCCATTAGAGAAATGTAAGTTAAAACCATACTGAGATATTTATCACCTATCACCCAGATGGTTAAAGTAAAAAAATAGTTACAACGCCAAATGCTGGTGAGGATGTGGAGAAACTAGATCACCCATACATTGCTGGTGGAAATGTAAAATGGTACAGCCGCTCTGGAAAATAGCTTGGCAGTTCCTTAAAAAAACTAAACATTCAATTACCACTCAACTAAAAAATTTCACTCTTTGGTAATTATCCCAGAGAAACGAAAATTTATGTTTATACAAATACCCATAAACAAATGTTCACATCAGTTTTATTTACAATTGTGAAAAATTTAAAACAGCCCATATGTCATTGAATAAATGAATGGTTACTCAAACTGTCTATACACTGTACACAGCATGGAATACTACTCAGTACTAAATAAAAGATCTATTGATATGCACTATTCAGGTGAACTTCCAGAGAATTATGCTGAGTGAAAAAGGGCAATCCAAAGTTTATATACTGTATGATTTCATTTATAACATTTTTGAAATGGCACATTTCTAGAGAACAGGTTAGTGGATACCAGAGATTAGGGAGGAGAGGTGGGGGTGTGAAGGAAGTGCTATAAAAGGGCAATATGAGGGATCATTGTGGTGATGAAACAGTTCAGTATCTTGACTGTGGCAGTGGGTCCTGAACTCACACATGTGACAAAATTGTACAGAACTAAATATTGGGTTGTCGGAAAAGTCAGGACACATTTTTGCAATGAAAAACATAGAAAAAATATGTCATGACTTTTCCGACAACCCAAAACATACGTGTAAACGAGAACAAAGAAAACTGGGGACGGGCGGCCGAGTGGCGGCGCGCTGGTTAAGAACTGGCTTGGGACGCCAGAGGGCCCCNNACAGCTAAGATGCTGAACAACAGCTCAACCTGGAGCTGGGCTGCCGTGAGTTGCCGGCGACGGCATAGGCTGCAGCCCCTGCTGCAGTGGGTTGCCATAAGCTACCGTGTGTAGCCGGCAGCCAGCGTGAGTGGCCAGCAGCTGCCATGAGCGGCTGTCTAGAGGCCAGCAACTGATCTGCCTCACAGGGAAGAGCGCAATGATGGTGCCAGTTTGGGCCATGAAGCCACATCCTCCACAACTAGACGAAGAACAAAAAAACCAACAGCAACTTGTCTGTTCCCCTTTCCCCGATTCCCCAATAAAAATCTTAAAAAAAAAAAGACTACTACCAAGAAAATGAAAAAACAAGCCAGATTGGCAGAAAATATTTACAAATTATCTCATAAAAGGCTTGTATATAAAAGATATGCACAACTCATTACAGCTTAGTAATAAGACGAAAACTCAATTAAAAACTGGGTAAAGGATTTTGATAGACGTTTCACAAAAAAAGATATACAAACACATAATAAGCATATCATTATTCATTCGGAAAATGCTAATTAAAACCACACGAGGTACCATTATACACTTATTAGAACAGCTAAAATTAAAAAGCCTATAACAACTGTTGGAGGATGTGGAAAAACAGCAAACCGTCAATGGGTAAAAATTATAAGTGGTACAGCCACTTTGGAAAACAGTTTCTTAAACAGTTAAACATAAACTTTTACACAACCCAGAAAATAAACCACTAGGTATCTACCCAGGAGAAATGAAAAACATAGCAACACAAAGACTTGTATGTGAATGTTCATAGTAGCATTACTGGAAATAATCCAAATGTCCATCAACTGGTGAATAAAAAAAAATGTGATATTAGCCACTATTTAGCAATCAAAAGAAATATTCTATTGATACATGCTACAACATACATAAAGCCCAAATGTTATGCCAAGGGAAAGAAGTCAGATGCAAAAGACTGAATATTGTATGATTCCATTTATAGGAAATGTCCAGAAAAAGCAAATCTATAGACAGAAAGCAGATTAGTGGTTGACTGATTGCAAAGGGATAAAGGAGCACTTCATAGAGCCACAGAAATTTTCTAAATGTGGTGATGTTGCATAACTCTATAAATGTATTAAAAATCATTGAATTGTAGGCTTACAATGTTATGTTAGGTGAATGTTATGGCAATTATACCCTACTATATAGTAATTATGCCCCTAAGCTGTAAATAAATTTGTAAACGTAAATATTTGCAAATTTTGCTAACTTGATAGAGCTGGTACTCAAAATATTCGCAATAGAAAAAATATTTTAACATATAAGATATTTAGTTTAAATCATTAGATGAAAAGCCTTATCACAGGCAATTAACAAATCTTTTCACAACTATTTATTTCAGTTCCTTATTGTCACATTTGTCAAACAAGATTTCATTACTGCACAAAAATTCACAATTACCTTAATAAGAGCTTTTTTTGTTAGTTTCTGGTTCACTTCAGGCTTATTCATTATGTTCTTTGCTCTATGAGCATATTCCAATGTACTCAGCGTTTCCTGTAATGAAAAGGCCAATTACTAAAGACATTATGAGAATAATGTAGTTCTGTTACCAAAAATGTACTACATAATAACCTATAAGTAGTAATTTATGGTTATAGCTAATTTAAATATCTACCCACTTTGTCTACTACACCCAATCTTTAAAAAGACTGTTCAAAAAAACATCCTCATCTTTTTTTCTTTTCTTCAACTTTCAGGGTCTTTAACTTGATAATAATTTGATCTAATAGTTTTTTACTTGACACTGGTCTCTAAAAACTCTATTAACCCATCAACTGATGAATAAACAAAATGTCCTATTATCCATACAATGAATATTACTCATCCACAAAAATGAAATATGGATACATGCTAAAACACGGATGAACATGGAAAACATTATGCTAAGTGAAAGAAGCCAGTCACAAGAGAACACTTATTGTATGATTCCATTTATATGAAATGTCCAGAATAGGCAAATCTATAGATTAAAAAAAGGAGGTTAGTAATGACCAAGGGCTGGAAGTGGGAGCAGATGGGGAATGGTTGCTGGTGTTTCTTTATGGGGTGATGAAAATAATCTAAACTTAGAATTTGGTGATGGCTGCACAAATCTGTGAAATTAATAAAATCATTGAACTATACATCTTTATTGGATGAATTTTATAGTATGTGAATTATATTTCAAATTAAAAAGGACAGGGGAGGGCTGGCCGAGTGGCTCAGTTGGTTAAGAGCTCACTCAAGAGTGCAAGCTCTGAGCAACAGCAGTTCGAGCCCTGCCCAAGCTGAGCTGCCAACAGGCTGTTGGCAGGATGGCTCAGCTAAAAAAAAACAAACAAAAAAAACAAACATTAAAAAGGACAGGGGAGTTAGAGACCTTATAAAGCTTTTCTAACTCCATTTAAAGTAGATGATTTCCATAAAAGTACATTTTGCCATCTTTGTTGCTTCTCTTGGTTTTCCCACTTGTTCCCACATACCCAGCCCCATCTTCACTGCTCTCTAAGCAGCCTCTATAATACTACCATTCACTTAACCCATTTCTAATTAAATCTCCATACCCCATGTAATCATTCACTAAAAGTCAGCAAGCTACTGGCTTTTTAAGATTAAAAACTCTGCCAGAGAGGAGACGCATTTTCTTTAAGTGGTGTCCTCCTGTATGTGTCCATATGCAATGTCCAGGTTCTTTTTACTATGGCATAAAATTAATGAAGCCAATTAATGAACTTCTAAAATAATGTGATAGCTAAATAAGAATTACAGCTACTAAGGGCCAGCCGAGTGGCTCAGTTGGTTAAGAGCTCGCTTAAGAGTGTAAGCTCTGAGCAACAGGGTCGCCAGTTCAATTCGTGGCCCGAGCTGAGCTGCCACTGAGTTGCCAACAGGTGGCAGGATGACTCAGCTTTAAAAAAAAAAAAAAAAAAGAATTACAGCTACTACACTTGCAGATACCTAAGGGCTTACCTCAAGATTGAGAGACGCAGGAGAAATTGTTGCAATTATAGATGTTCTTGTACGTCCCCCAAGAGAATCCTGGAGGATTCTGGTGAGTTTAGATTCTCGGTAAGGAACATGAGGTGTTCTTTCCACAAGAGCAGTAATAACCCTACCCAAAGTCAACAGGGATTGATTGATATTCCCAGCTTCCCGAGCTCTCTTGTCAACTGCTCCAGAACGGCCAATATTTTCACTTCCTGCAAGATCAACCTTGAATTTTAAAAATAAAAAATGTTATATAAATGATGTGCTACAGCATCATACACTTGAAGCCTATGTAACTTTACTAACAATTGTCACCCCAATAAACTTTAGTTGAAAAAAAAGTTCTCGAAGACATTCATTCTCATAAATAATGTTAGTTCCATAGCCAGCAATGTTATTTTTCTAATTAACAACCCACTACAAAGCTAATAACCCAGTCACTACAGAAATATTGTCTAGAAGAACACAAAATTTCAGGCTGCTCTGAGGCAGTCAAGAATGAGACAGTAGAAATAGAACTCCATATGATCCAGCAATCCCACTTCCAGATATATATCCAAAGGAAATGAAATTATTTTCTCAAAGTGATAGCTGCACTCCCATATCCACTGCATTATTAAAAATAGCCAATATGTGGAAACAAACTAAGTGTCCACCAATGGATGAATAGATAAAAGATGTGGTATACATACACAACTGAATATTATTCAGCCATGAGAATGAAGGAAATTCTGCTGTTTACTACAACAGGGATGAACCTAGAGGACATTATGCTAAGCCATGGAAAGACAAAAATACAAACACTAGGGTTAGCCGAGTGGTGCAATGGTTAAGAACTGGCTTGGGACGCCAGAGGGCCCCGGTTCGGATCCCACATATGAGGGCCAGTGACATTGCCTTCCACAGCTAAGATGCTGAACAGCTCAACCTGGAGCTGGGCTGCCGGGAGTCGCCGGCGACGGCGTAGGCTGCAGCCCCTGTGGCAGTGGATTGCCATAGCCAGCAGCCAGCGTGAGCGGCCAGTAGCCGGCGACTGATCTGCCTCGCCCGGGAAGAGCGCAATGATGGTGCCAACTTGGGCCAGTGAAGCAACATTCTCCACAACTAGACTGGAGAACAAAAGGACAGCAACTTGTCTGTTCCCCTTCCCCCAATTCCCCAGCACTGTTCCCATCCCCCAATTCCCCAATAAAAATCTTAAAAAAAAAAAAAATACAAACACTATATGATTTCACTTACATGTGGAATTAGGAGGAAAAAAAGAAAGTCAAAATCATAGAAACAGAGAGAAGAATGATAGTTACCATGATGAAGGGGATTGGAGAGATAGGGAGATGATGGTTAAAGGGTACAAGCCTTCACTGATAACATGAGTGAGTTCTGCGGCTCTGATGTTAGCTATGGTGGCTATAGTTAACAATAGTACACTGAAATTTGCTAAGAGAGTAGATCTTAAGTGTTCTCACAAATACACACAAAAAGTAACTATGGAAGGTGATGGATGTATTAATTAATCTGATTGTGGTAATCATTTCACAAAGTATGCATATATCAAATCATCATGTTGTACACTTTAAATACGTATATAATTTTAATTGTCAATTATACTGCAATAAAGCTGGAGAAAAAATCCAAAAAGCATGAAACAGTGGTATTAAGGTAGATGCTTACCAAGTTCAGCTTTCCAATTTTAACAAGCTCCTCTCCATCAATTGTAGTTTCTTTCATATGTATTGTAACAGAGAAAACTGAGTGGGAACGGCTAGAAAACAAGATCAAGTTGCCCAGTCATTATAATGCATAACATTATTTGCTTTCCATAAAATGTTGAAAATAGCCAAGAAAGATCTAAACCCCCAAGGGTGAAAAAAAAGAGTATCAGACAGGAGATATCAATAAGATTTTGGAAGACAGAGTATGGATAATACAAGGATTAGGTTTTTGTTTTCTTGTATCTGCTGCTTGCAGAGGAGAACCCAATAAGAAGCTACCTGAAAACACCCTAAAAGACAGGAACTAGAATCCTCAGGCACCTCTGAAAGCTGGATATGGGGTAGGGTTGGAAGAGTTGCCTGGTTTGTCAGACGGGAAGGTTTCAATCAATCTTCCTATTCATAAGAATCATTTGAAATATGTCATTATCATAAATTGAAAGAGCACCAGGCAACCCATCGGATTACTTCCCCACAGTGTCAACAGTTGTAAAAGAACATTACTCTGCTTTGAGAATGTCATCAGAAACAGGTAACTTCTTTCCCTGAATAGCACAAATAGTAAATAGCAATGATTATCGAAACACTACAAGATAATTACTGCTAGATTATAAAGTGTTCCAAAATGTATCTTATGCTATATATTGACATTTGGCTTTTATCTGATGGATAAAAAAATTACAGTCATGCGCAGCTTAACGACAGGGATGTTATGAGGAATGCGTTGTTAGGCAAGTCATTGTTGTGCGAACATCAGCATGTACTTACACAAACCAAGATGGTATAGTCTACTATTGCAACCATATGTGCTATACTTTTAAACAAATGAAAGCACAGTAGGTTTGTTTATACCAGCATCACCACAAATACTTACGTAATGTGTTAACTCAATGTTGTTGACAGCTATGACATCACCACGCGACAGTAATTTTTCAGCTCCATTACAATCTTATGGGACCACTGTCGTATATGCGGTCTTTCAAGGACCAAATGTTGTTATGCGGCTCATGACTGTATAGACAACCAAAGACATCTTTCCTTTCTGTATCAGTAACATTTGCTGAACATCAATGTTTGTTAATGCCATTGATGGTAGAGAATATGGTCATTTTTAATTTTTTTATTTGTATTTTTTTCATGTTACTTGGAAAATATTACAGTATCATTTTTACAAAAAGTATTTAAATTACTTAAAATTACAGAAAAAGGGAGTCACAAGGAAAAATATAAACAAACTACAAATCTGAATCATATTATTTCATGTTTTACTATCATTATTTACCTATTCCTAACCTAAGATGATGCAATTAAGCATAGATGTCAACTTTGGTTTTGAAAAAAAATGAATGTTTTCCTTCTCTTTATCACCTATACTCATAAAAAGAGATCTTTACTCGAGTCTATATGCAAAAAAACCCCAACAAAAACAAAAATCAAATTTACTAAATAGGAATTGTATATTTCAGAGACAAGTTTTTAGAGAAAAGAAATTTTACCTAGTCTTAAATTCATTCCTCCAAATTCTGTATAAAATTAAGTTATAAACCAATCACAGAATAAAATTTCAACCCTATGATTCGTTTATAACTTAAGGTTTAAAAATGGAGAGCTACTGAGCCGCCGCCGGGAAGGTGAGAGCACATGCTCTCAGCAGCAAGGCTGCCAGTTAGACTCCCGCATGGGATGGTGGGCTATGCCCACCCACAACTAAGATTGAACACAGCACCTTGAGCTGAGTGGCCGTGAGCTGCTGATGAAAGGCCGGATGGCAACTGGATGGCTGAGTTAGGTGCGCCCTCCACAACTAAGATTGAAGGACATCAACTTGGCTGTTCCCCTTCCCCAATTCCCCAACACTGTTCCCGTTCCCCAATTTCCCAATAAAATCTTTAAAAAAAAATAAAGTAAAAGAAATAAAACTGTAAAGCTATTATAGAAAAATTTAATTAGAATTACAAAATCACCCACAATTCCATGATCTTAATTATTTTCATATTATTTATATCTTTCTTTAAATGCATACACATTTTTATAGTTGCAATTATAACTGTTATAGAGTATTGTACAAATTTTCAATATAAGGGAGCAAAGAAATAAGGATCTAGTCCTAATAATCATTTTGTAGCGCAAGGAAACTGATATTCAGGTAAGTTCACTTAATTACCCCAAATCACATATTTAATTAAACTGCAGAACTGGAACTAAACACAAATATCTAACTCCCAGCCCACAGCTCTTTCAACTATACTCTGATGTTTCCTTCAAAGACCAACAGGAAAAACGTCACTTTTGACCTGGTAAACTGCCATTTGTAGAATTTGGGATTCATCATATGGGGGTGCTTCAAATATGCTCCTTTCTCCCCTTAAAAGTCAGTGTTAGTGACCATCTGTCTTCCTACATTAAAATGAAGCCATTTGGAAAAAAAAAATCACATTATACAACCTAAATATATATAATTTTTGTTAACCATACCTAAATACAGCTGGAAAAAAATTAAAATGAAGCCATTTGACTTTCTTCTAATCTTTACTCAAATCAGCGTTTTTCGAACTATTCGTTTTAAGTACAAAAGGGAGCTTCATAAAAGTGCTCAGAGAAAACCTTCTTAAGGCTGAGGAAGAACACCTATGAGAGTCCCATCCCTAAATCAACTATAGCAGTCACATTTTAACCAGGTCTCCCATGTATGATTTCACTTGGGAAAAATCTTCAGCTTAAAAAGTTTAATACTTCTGCTTTCATTCAACTTAATCTTAGCTCTCCTTTCAACATTCTTCCAATATTGGTGCTTCTCTATAAATCTCAAACCAATTACTAAAGCATGCAATCCAGCATCAAATCTAGATATGTGATTCACCCACCCCAATTTGACTTCCCCCAAGTTTCTAATTCTTCTTTAAATGAAAATAGGAGGGGTGGCCTGTTAGCTCAGTTGGTTAGAGTGCAGTGCTCACAACACCAAGGTTGTCAGTTTGATCCCCATATGAGCTGTTAAGCTGCACCCTCCACAAGTGGAGGAAACAACTACTCTACTTGGAGTTGATGGGTCCTGGAAAAACACACTGTTCCCCAATTATTAAAAAAAAAAAAAAAGAGAGAGGTAGAAGAGACAGTGGGTTGTTTTTTTTTACCTAGAATATGCATTCATTAAAGTTGCTGCAGTTGTCCTCTTTGCTGCTCCCTTCTCCAAAATCTGGTAAACTTCATCCTTGTTGTGTACAGTAATTTCTTCTAAACCTTTGATTATCACTCCCCTCTGACCAAATATAAAAAGCATCCATTAGATTGGTTAATACACACACAGACACACACACACACACACACACACACACACACACACACATACTCCTTAAAGCACTCACAGCATCACAAATTAAAATTTACAGACATTTCATTCTCAAAGACTCAGTTACCTTGTTGCGGGGATCATCAAACATTTGTAGTCTCTCAGAAACATCAGAAGATGGATTAAGGAGATCAAAAAGTTCTTCATTATAGATTTCCAACAGAGACACTTTCACCGAAAATTCAGTACCATTATCAGTAAGTTTCTCAAAAATTTGATGAAGAGTACGTGGAATTATACCAGCCAAAGGATCCTGAAATCGTATTAATGAGAAATAAAATAAAGGAAGAATGGCATTTATTGTGTCGGTTAAAACACATAAAACAAGGGCCTCCTTTATAGTATATTTAAACATGTCAAAACAAGTTTAAAAAAAAAAAAACCTAACCTAATGTTAGAGAAGCCAAGTCATTTACAACAGTCTAAAAAACAGTAATTATTCTTCTTCATACCTTCCACTAATCTGTCATGCCTGTCAGGCTCTTCATGCCTGAACATTACATAAACCAACTGAACCAGACTACTTATAAAGCCAAGTTCAATAATTCCTTCCACTTTTTCTCATGAATACATACCACCATTTTAATCAGAAAAGTGACCTATCTAACAATATATTGTTTATAATATATTGTTTCTCAAATATGTAGGTATCCTTAATAAAACTGTTATAAATCTCTAAAATTTAAAACTGTTTTAGGGCTGGCTGAGTGGCTCAGCTAGTTAAGAGCTCGTTTGGGAGCGCCAGCTCTGAGCAGCAAGGCTACGGTTCGAATCCCTTATTGAGGGCCAGTGACACTGCCCTCTACAGCTAAGATGATGAACAACAGTTTGACCTGGAGCTGGGCTGCTGTGAGTCGCTGGCGAGGGCATAGGGTGCAGTGGGGCTGCAGTGGGCTGCTGTGAGCTACGTGAGTGGCTGGCAGCCAGTGTGAGCTGCAGGGAGCCGTTGTGAGTGGCCAACCAATGACCAGCGACCTATCTGCCTCATCCGGGAAGAGCACAATGATCATACCAACATGGGCCAATGAAGCAAAGTCCTCCACAGCTAGACTGAAGAACAAAAACAGCAATTTGTCTACCTGTCTGTTCCCCTTCCCCGATTCCCCAATAAAATCTTTCAAAAAACAAAACAAACAAAAAAACTGTTTTAAAAGCTTATTCTGTATCTCCTATGGTTACAATTCCATAACTTTATTATATTTGCGTAAAGTTAATGCCTCAACTATGTAACCACTAGGAAAAAAGGATTTACCTAAATTTTAATAATTTGGAATACTGACTGAGTCATTAAAACTCATTTAAACACATTTGATGGAAATCTTTGTGAAATGTACTATGTGCTTTCTACATTCTTCAACAATATAGTGCTCTTAATTTCTTGAACTCTCAAGGTAATCATTAATAAAATACCATACTGCCCCTTGCTATGCTAACTTTATGAGATTCATTCCCTCACTACAAAGCCTTCTCCTTCAAGCCCTAATCACTTTCCACTTTTCCACAATATTCTGCTCCAACGATTCTGTCCCAAACAGACCCCTCTATTATCACTTAACTGTGCCATATGTATTGGTCCTCTCCCAATGAGAGTGTATGTTTCTTAAACAGGAGTCATACCATGTACTTTAATTATATTATACTACTAGTTAATGCTAAATTCATGTTTGGCATGGGTACTCTTCTCTATTAGAAGACGGAGTCCTTCAACCAAGTTTTATTAAGGACAGTTATATTTCAGCCACTTTAGAGACAAGTCTTATAAACAACAAATACCTCCTCCCAAGTATACTCTTCGTTAGGTGACCTTTCACCTTCCATTGTAAAGGTTTTTCCGGTCCCAGTTTGGCCATATCTGTCAAGATTAATAAAAATGTTAAATGAAAAACAAATATACACATCTAAACTTTTTCATCAATTTGAAAAACAGTGTTTCACTCACGCAAAAATAGTGCAATTATAGCCCATAATAACTTCATCCAGAATTGGACAAACAACACTTCGGTAAACGTCAATTTGTTTAGTAGATGCTCCAAAAACCTATCAAAAAAAGAATCATAGCATTTTTTTCAAGAAAAGCAATTTAAAAATTACCCACTTTAATTATTTTTTTAAATAAATTAACTCATTCAGCTCACTAGAAACCATTTGACAACTCAAAGAATCAACTGAAATTTATAATTGTACACTAGAACCTAGAGGAAATATGTATACTAGGATAAATTTACATTAGTGAATAATAAAGTAGCATCATTTTAAGAAGTACCATGTCAAAAGTGTATGTTTTCCTTGAGCTCTTGTCGGCCAATCCTCCAGTTCGTACACTAACTTCTTTCCGTATATGATCACATTCTACTACAGAATGGGCGCTAGCTTTCCGCTCTGCCAAATTAAATGGTCTATAAAAATAAATACAAAAAGTTATTCAAGAACTCTTAGTTATCAGGTTACTGATGACGTTTTCATTAACACCTTAGACAAGAACAATGTGACATTTTGACTACACTAGTGGTGATGAGGACTAAATGATAAAAGTAGACAGAATTTTATGGGTTTCGATTCCCAGAAATAAAATTAGTTTTTAAAAATTTTCAAAGATATGTAAAACATTACAATTCTGACAGTTTCTTGGATAGATGCTAACAGAATTAACTTGGAAAAACCACCAAACTTATTTTTCAGAATTCTATTTCTGCTATTCTTAGAATCTGGTCAAGTTACAATGTATAATAGTAAAAAGAACATGCCAATGGGGCCAGCCGAGAGGTGTGTTGGTTAAGAGTTGGCTTGGGATGCCCGCTCTGAGCAGCAGGGCCCTGGTTCGGTTCCCACATGAGGGCCAGTGACGCTGTGCCTTCTACAGCTAAGATGGTGAACGACAGCTCCAACCTGGAGCTGGACTGCCGTGAGTCACTGGTGCCGGCGTAGGCTTCAGCCCCTGCTGCAGTGGGCTGCCATAAGCTACCGTGAGTGGCCGGCAGCTGGTGAGAGCTGTCACGAGCCACCATCCAATGACCGGTGAGCAGAGCTACTGTCTCAGCCAAGAAGAGCGCAATAATACCAGCATGGGCCAGTGAAGCAACGACGTCCTCCACAACTAGGCTGAAGAACAAAAAGACAGCAACTTGTCTGTTCCCCTTCCCCAATTCCCCAACGCTGTTCCCCTCCTCCAATTCCCCAATAAAATCTTAAAAAAAAAAAGTTTAATAAATAAATAAAGTAAAATTTCTCTCTATATACCATCAGTTCCTCAACTCCAGAAGTTATACCTTTATCTTGAGCTGTGTCTAGGTAGAATAAAAATTTCTCTTCATAACGTTACTGTACAAGTAAAGAACATCGTAAAGATTGTATTCAATGTAATCAAGTAATGAAGTCATCTGTCCTCTCTTGAAATCTTGTTGACCTCTTAGGCTACAATAAACTGTGCCAATTAAAAATTTTAAACTGAAAAAAAAAATAGAAAAGAATATGTGACAGAGACCACACATGGCCCGAAAAGCCTATATTTATTGTCTGGGCCCTTTACAGAAAAGATTTGACCACTCCAGGGCCTCTTATGTTGTTTATTTACTAAAGCTAGAGGACATATTTGCACTAGGAAGGCTATTTAAAAAAAAAAAAAGAAAAAAAGGCTAATCTAAAAAGAGATACATCTCTTTATACTAAAATCATTGCAAATATTAGACACAACCTAAGCACTTTTCAATAAAAGAATTATCTTCTAAGGTAAGCTTGAAATGTGTGGGGATAATAAACATGACATTCAGGATAATATTTAATTCTTGAGGTAGAAGAATGAGGTTGGAGGTTGGGAAGGGATACACAACTAAGACTCCAGCTGTAATGACTGTTTTGTTTCTAATCTGGGTGATGGATATACAGATGTTTATTACATTGTTCTTTATAATTTTTTATAGCCCTGACATAATTTGTAACTAACAATAAAAAAGAAATTAAAAGAAAGTAAAACCACACGGAAATGTAATATTGCCTGGCTTTATTAGATCAAAATAATCTAAAAATCTGCAGGCTGTTGCAGATTTGTTTCAGGCTGTTGTTTTTTAAACCTTCAAAACAAGCAACGATTAACAGAAGCCCTAGAATGCAACTAGTAATTGGCTAGACTGAAGATTACCACCAAATTTTCTCCCTGGCACCTAGTTTAAGCTAGTATTATCTTTGATACCTACAATTCAAGTCACCAAAGCTGAGTAAACAATAACTTCAGAAAGTTCGCTAATACCTTTTTAAAATAACCTTTTAATTTTGGAATGCTTTTGGATTTACAGAAAATTTGCTGATAGCTGGTACAGTTTTTAAAACAAAAGCAACAAAGAGAGACACACAAAACACACATTCACCAGTAAACTGTGGAGGGCCTCTAAAAAGCGGAATAAATCAATCTCGAAGCAATAGTTTGTACAACAGGTATGTTCTTCCTCTATTAGCACATTTAAACACTGGGAAGTTATTTGGAAATCAATCAGGGAAAAGTTGAACAACTCCACCCATCCGACCCAAAAAAGCTTTGGTCTAGGGAAGACCAAGTTTCGGCAAAACCAGATTGTCTCTTTGATCTTTTAAAAACATAAACTCACTTTATAACTTAATTTTTAAAATTTAAATAGTGATGCTTACTTATTTAGCAGAGATTAAGGGAATATAACATCTAGAATAAACAGGTAACGGATTACTTTAGAGTGATGAGGGGGATGGTAATCCCAATGTAAGTGCTAAAACATCTGCAAAGTAGGTATGCAGTCTTATTTCCAAACCGACAAAACTGCAAGGAGTGGCATATAAAAAGAACACCTAAATTTTTGTTGACATTGCTTTTAAAAAAGAATGCACTTTTCACTAAAGGACAGCCATCAAATTCTACTTCTGAATATAGCAGTTTAAACTAGAACCTCCAACACAAATATATGAGGGAGACCAAAGTTTTGCCTGTCCAAAACATGCCTTTTGGGGTACTGTTTTCAGGCTGGTTATGAAGAAACAAAAGACTCAGAAAAACCCTTTTACTCTCCCCCTCACTGCCTAAAGGAACTCAAGATACAAACACCTGCTTAAAGGAAGGGAACATCACCTTAGCATCATAATATAAGCTAAATGTGGCGAACAGAAATCTAGCAAAGTTTATTTGTTGAACTTCCTTCTGTGTACCATTGTTTCTGGGTGGCCCAACAATAACTAGCTTCCTCCTTTACCTGTAAATTGCCTATTTTCCCTTTGAAATCCCAGACCTCCGGCCCCCTTTTCCTTTGTCCAAAATGACATATAAACCTTAACTGCCTGATGTGTCTTGGGGTCTCATATTCTAATGGCATCCTTGCAAGTACATCCGTAATAAATTTTGGACATTCTCTCCTGCTAACCTGTCTCGTGTTAATTTGATTATTAGCTCAGCTAGAAGTTACAAGGTGGGAGGAAAATTATTTTTTGCGCCCCACCAATATTTTTTTCTTCTGAAAAGGAATTTACTCCACTGTGTGTCATTTAATCCAACAGAAGGCGGAAAACTAGGAAACAAGGTGTGGTCCACTAAGAAACTGGAAACAAAAATCCCTCTCCTGCCACCACGCAAGAGGAAGCCCAGCAGCAAAGCACTCCGAATCCCACCAGGCAGGCCCTACCTGCATCTCACCACCACCTGGATGTTCTTCCCCTTCTCCTCTTTCTTCTTCACGGAGGAATTCGGCTGGGACGCCATGACGGTACCCTTCGAAAAATCAAGGCTGGGCGCTGGCCAGGGCTGGGATGCCCACCTTTCTTGCAGAGTGCTGGCTTGGCCCGAGGACCGGACGCAAGCAGCTCAGCGTCCCTGGTCTCCACTAGGGACTCTGGCCGTGGTGTCTGTCCCACACCAGCCGGAGCCGGCGAGTCACCAATCTCGTCTCAGCCAAAAGCCTAGGAGCTCGAGCAACGACTCGGCGCCTCAATTTGAAAAAGGAGCCCGGCCTCCGGGCCAATTGCAGCGCGGACGCGCAAAGCACCATGGGATGCAGTTTCCTCACCAGAGCCCAGCCCTAAGGGAAAGCGACAATCTGGTACGCGGATAGCCGCCTGGAACTTGTAATCCGAGGGGAGACACGCAGGAGTAAATAGTGTGGCACTTCAACGTAGCGGTGCTCAAATTGCATAACATCTCTAAACCAAAATGTCCTCATCTGCAAAAGGGAAATAATAGCAAATTTTCCAGAGGGCTGTGTGAGAATTAATGAGCTAGCGAGGGTGAATAGATGAGAACATGTAGTAAACGCTCAGGAAGGCTGGTCATGATTATAATTATTAGAGAATTGTATGAGAGTGCTATAGAAGCACAGAGAAGAGAGGCCAAAGCGAGCCCCTTTCTTGGCGGCAGCATCCAGTATAGTCTTTAAGAATAATTAGGAAGTGTTACGAGATAAGGCTACAACGGGTACCAACTCGTGATGAAAGGGACACTGAATGTCATTTTTTGGACTCTAAATTTATCCTTTAACTGATGAGAACTCATCACTGCTAAATGATTCCAAGCTTGAAAGGAAGATCAGATTTGCGCTTTCGAACAACGGTTCTGCAGTAACTGAAGCCGATTCAAGGCGCCCTTCCCTCCAGGTACGTGGCTAAGGCTCCAGCGGGCGTTTAACGGAGGTTGCGCAAACTCCCGCGGAGGTTAGCCTACAAATCCCAGCAGGCAGCACTCGCTGGGTCCCGCCTGCGCATAATGACCTTCGGCTTTCCGTAGTCGTTCTATAGGCGCCTTGGCAGTGCTTGGGGATGATTCGACCACTTTAGGTGTGGATTCCGGAAATACTGAATCATGGGCCGTTGCCATTGTCACTTCCGGGAGCTGTGCTTCTGAGCAGTACTTACTTAGTCCACAGGAACCTAGATGTCATTTTAGTTTCTTAAGAAACGGCCAGAAGGAATGGAAAGCTCGCAGGCCCCTGTAGTATTTCTCCACTTAACTCCTACATTCCCCCAAGGAAACATCTATATCTAAAGCCTAGATCGCTAGTCAATGGAGACTCTGCAGAAGCAGATGTCTACTGATAGTTCCTTAGAAGGCTACCTTTTAACCTATAATACCTTTTTCTTGTACTTAAAATGAAATCCAAACTCCATACCTGGCCTGTAAGGCCCTCATAATCAGGCCTTTGCATCCACTACTGCCATTAGCCCACATAGCTCACTACCATTCTCCAGAGCTCACTACCTGAAGCCAGGCCTTTGTATTTGCAGTACCCTCTGCCTAGAACTCAACAGTTTGGCTCTTTGCATGGCTTACTCACGCATTCTCATCCTTCAGATCTCAGTTAATCTTTCTCTTTCAAAAGGTCTTTCCTGACCACCCTATATCTAAAGCGTATTTCTACCATTATTTTATGACTCAAGACCTTGTTTATTTCCTTCACAAAATTACCACAAACTGTAATTACATTGTGAGTGTATTGTCTACCTTGCTAGAATGTAAGTCTCGCCAGGGACCTGACTGTCTTGGTCAGTGCTGTTTTCCCAGTGTCTTGAACAGAGCCTTACTCAAAGTAGTCATTAAATAAATATATGAGTACCTGAAGGAAGTTATTTAACTTCTCTCAACATTGATTTCCTTATCTGTATAATGGAGATAACAATGATTACCATTATTGTAAGGATTAAAATAATAGCATGTATAAAGTACCTGGCACATAGTAGGCCAAAAATGTTATTTTCTTCTCCTTTTCTTTCTCATCAGTAAATATCTACACACTATTTACATTAACAGTCATTAGGGTTTATGCAAGAAATTCAAGAGTCTCCATTTGATAATAGTTTTATAGCTACCACTTATCTAGAGCTACTATTAGGTGTCAGACTCTATGAAAGGCTTTGTGTATATCGTCTCATTTAATCTTAAGAACAACTCTCTGAAGTAGCAACTATTATTTCCCACTATTTTATCAGTAAACAGGCCAAGTAAGTGTATTATCCGCAGTCATATGGCTAATAAATGACAAGGGAGGAACTCAGAATTCTTTCTGATTTCAAATCCCAGGTTCTTAATTGCTATCTCCCTCATTTAATTTTTTCATGTGCTCAGTGCACCTGTACCCACTTTCATCTTACCCTTATTAAGTGCTTAATACGGGATAGGCAGTAAAGACATAAGGCTGAATTATAGTTCCTGCCCTCAAGATTAAATCTAATGGAGACAGCCAGGGTCTTTTGAACATTTTTAAAAGTTTTGTTACGCTAGGCAGGTGACTGTCTCTGATATGTTATTTTACACTTCCCCTATAGAGCTCAAAGCTACTCAAGCTAATTGACACTTCTTTCTTGAAAGTCTGCCTATGATTAGAAATTATTTTTAATACTCTACCTGTATTCTATCAATGTACATCATTGACCATGTATGTGTTTGATCATTTCTCTTTCAAGTATAAACTATTTTTGTATAAACTATTTTTAATTGATTTTAATTTTTCTTAAAACATGGACATAGTTTTAAAACTAATATAGTTCTAAAGGGTTTCTCACCCAAAAAAAAGTATTTCCCTGTCTTATCCTGCCCTAACCCCTCCAGACCTCTCCAGAAACAACTATTTTCAACTCATTTTAGCTATTTTTTCTAAGATTTACACATTCCCATTTTCTTAAAGAATTTGTATATACCATTACCTTTTGATTAATCAAGTTTAGACTTTATTTAGTGATTTCCTCTTATGGAGGACAGGATTTAGTTCTCAAACTCTACCACTCCCTCAGCTTTCTCTTCCCTGTACACCCAATATTGCAATTTTTGTTAAATCAAAAAGCTGTATTTAGATTATGCTTACTCATAGCTTAGCATTTCACTCCAGTGAGATTATGTTTCCTTTCTTACCTTTTGTCTATTCAGAAATTAATAACCGCTCAGTTTTGATTAGTTTTCCTTGTACTTTTCCCAATTCTTCCTACAGCTCCCAGTAGCCTCTTGGTAAAATCTTCCACCAATTCAATGACATCAGAAATCTATCAGTTTTAAGTAGTTTTTAATTGAACCACTTACTCCCTCTAGGCCTGTGGTCCAGCTGCCATCCTAGGATTGCCCTTCTTTTTCATCCCAGGAATTCCCTTTGCCTCTTTCCTGGTTTGGGAAGCATATTTTCTGGATCCCATCTGTGTGCTTTCTTGTTTCACTCCCTTATTTAGGTGAAGCACATCCTCCTGTACTTTCCCGAGAAAGAGTACAGAGGAGATACATTTCTTGAGAACTTGCTTGCTTGTCTAAAAATGTTTTTATTCTATTCTGACACTTGATTGTTACGTAGGTTATATATACAATCCCAGAGTCTAGCTATTTTTACTTCAGATTTTTTTTTCGAGGGGTGTATTAGTTTCCTATCACTGCTGTAACAAATCACAACAAAGTTGGTGGTTTAAAACAACAGAAATTTTTTTTTTATTATTTCACAGTTCTGGAGGCCAGAAGTTTGAAATCAATTTCACTGGGTCAAAATCAGGGTGTCTGCAGGGCCAGGCTCCTTCTGGAGCTTCCAGGGGAGTATCAGTTCCTTGTGCTTTCCAGCTTCTGATGGCTGCTGGCATTCCTTGGCTTGTGGCACATCACTCCAATATGTGCCTCCATGCTTTCTCTTCTGTGTCAAATCTCTCTCTGCTTCTTGAGCAACACCTATGCAATTCTTTAGTGAATAGTTGAGGAGTACTTGACTTTAGCTATTATAGTCGCCAGAATCATGTTAGGTTCTATATGTCTCTGAGTATAAACGCCAAAGAGAACAAACAGTAAGCATGTCTGATGTGCTTACAGACTGAGTAAAAAACAGTTCATGAATTGTTCATACACTTATAAAAAACAAATGCTCAAGTATAGCGTTTCTCCAAGTCTAAATTTTGTTTTTACTGTGTTAATAGTAGAGTTTCCATGGCAAAAATTAGTTGGGAGAGAAAGGAAAAGAGATGTTTTCTGGCCTTCTGTCAGATCCTGGAACATGCCAGACTCTCTCCTGTCCCAGACTCTTGTGATGAATGTTTCCTTTGTCTGGAGTCTTTCCCTCACCTGTTCTAACTTGCTCCCTCTTACCTTTCAAGTCACAACTCAAATGTCACTTCCTCAGAGAGACTTTTCTCAACCACTGTATCTGAAGTAGTCCTCCAAACTCTTTTATAAAACCCCATTTATTTTCCTGCACAGAGCAAAAGATGTTGAAATTTTACTCCCCATGTTTTCTTTCTTTGCCATACCTCAGGACCCTTTCTTAGAGACCAAAGGCATCTAAGAGAATTAGGGTTTCTATAGCAGGAATGCAAAGAGGAAAAATAATATTCAGCGTTTGTAACTTTCAAGCTAGACAGTTAAGGGAAGGCCCTAAGAAGAGCCCCAAGCAAGACAGCAACAGAAGGAGAAGATGATTGTCCCTCAACTTTCAAACTCTAGTTGAGAAACTCATGGCTGGGACATTGGATGGAGAGATAGGTATATAGGAAGAAGAAGTTGATGGAGGTCAGGGGCCATAAAAAAAAAAAAAAGAAAGAAAACAAGTTTGACGGAGGGTAATCCCAGGAGGGGATCTGGTGGAGAGTTAGTCTGTGAGAAGGGCCACAGAAGCTGGCTTTCCACTGACAGCTGCCCATGCAACTCAAATACCGAACCCTATGTTCTGAGCTTTTGCTGAGCTTCCATCTAAACTGTCCCATGCACACACACTCCTGTTGTCAACAGCCCAGGACATGCACAAGCCCCCGTAAGACAGACGATGAGATCTTTGCCACCTTCCCCCACCCAGAGGGGCAGTAGTGATGATGGCGGGAAAGTCCTTCGGTGAAGCTGGACAGCAGGAAAACCCACTCTGGTTACCCTAATATATTATTTTAATCATATGTGCAATTACTTTACATAAGTATTAATTTACTTGTTTCTCTCTCTCTCTGTAGTATAAACCCTACAAGAATAGAAAGCTGATTGCTCTTTTTCTCTCGTGTAGTCTCAACATCTAAAGCAAGGCCTGGGCCCATATTTGTTGAATGGACAAATCAAAAGTAGCCTTAACTGTGGAAAATATGAATGATAGATTTTTACATAAATATTTTAAGTACTGTCCATAAAGTAACTCAAATTTACCTTCCCGGACTAGCAAGTATGAGCAATTTAGGAAAACTTTTAACAAATTTATAATTAATAAATCACTTATCTATAAACATTCTTAAAAATTCATGTTGCTTTTAGGTATTTTATTACCATAGTGCTGTACTTAAAACTAACATACATTATAAAACTTTTTATCATGGAAATTACAAATATATATAAAAGCAAAGAGAATAGTATAATAAATCCCCCAGGCATCCATTATCCAGTTTCAATAATTATCAGTTCATGGCCAATATTGTTTTACCTATACTTCCTCCTCTTCTGTCAACTTTCACTGAATTATTCTGAACCAAATCCCAGTCATCATAGTATTTCCGTATGTATACAAAAAAGCAATGGAAAGTTCGCGAACTTAATTGTCCGAGCTTTCCTATCTCAAAGGACTCTTAAAAAGCCACAGCCAAAACATACCCCCCAAATCAACATGAGCACTTAATATCATTAAATATCTAGTCAGTGTTCTACTTTTCTGATTGTCTCGTAAATATTTCTTTTTTCACAATGGGTTTGTTCAAATCAGGATTCAAACAAGAACCAAACATTTCATTTGATTATTATGTCTCTATCTTTTGTTGTTTTGCACTTTTGAAGTTTATCTTTTCTGAAGATTTTATTGGAGCACTGCAAACATAAAAGTAAGTAAACCAAAAGTGTATCACTCACTTTTCAAAAACTGAACACACCCACATAAACACATCCAAGGGCCCCCTGTAGTCTCCCTTTCAGTCACTGCCACCTCCAGGGTAACCTCTAACTTGAGTTCTAATACTATAGATTAGTTTTGCCTGCCTTTCAACTTTATACAATGCACTCAGACAGTATATACTCTTTTGGGTCTGGCTTCTTTCACCATGCTTGTGAGATTCATCCATATCGTGTGTGTAATTTTTTTTGTTCATTTTCATTGCTGTACGGTATTCCATTGTATGAATATTCCCCAGTTTATTTTTCTAGTGCATTTTTGGGCATTTGGATTGTTTCCAGTTTGGGACTATTATTAATTGTGTTGCTGTGAACATTCTAGTTCTGTTGAGTATATCTAGAAATGGAATTGCTGGGTCATAGCATATGTTTATGTGCAGCTTTAATAGACACTACCAAATAGTTTAACACAGCCTATTTGTCTGCCCTCATGCCATCATGATATCATCTCAATTATTATAACTTAACAGTAACTTAATATTTGGTAGTGTAAGTGTTCCAGATTCTTCTTCCAGATCGGCTTGGGTCTTCCTGGCCCTTTGCATTTTCATATAAAAATTTATAAACAGCTTGTCAATATAAGTCCCCTTTAATCCATAGGCTTCTCCTTCCTCTCTTTTTTTGTTTTGCAATTTATTTGTCAAAGAAATAGGGTCATTTGTCCTGCAGTGTTGCAAACATTCTAAATTTTGCTGATTGTATCCATCAAGTGTGATTTAACATTTGTCCCCTGTATTTACTATAAATGGTAGTTATATCTCAAGGCTTAATTAGATATAGGAAACATGCATTTGACAAGCATTAACTGAGCACTATGCTTGATGCCAGGTGAGATACAAAAATGACTGAGACATCATTACAAGTATGGAAGGTTAAGATCCAAATAAGTGTCTTTTGAGAGTGGCAAACTACTCTGGCAGCTCAGATCAGAGAGTGGTTACTTCCAACGGAGTATGTGAGGAATGGAAATGAGGGAAAGTTTTGCAAAGGCAATGCCATTGCAACAGGGCATGAAATTTGCTAGAGCACTGACAAGTTGGTATTGTGAGCATCAATTAGCTGTGACAGCTGTGTGAACTGGAGTTCATAGAGGGTGGAGGTAGAGGCTAGAAAGGTGGAGTAGTGGGTTCAGTGGTTGCCCCCAAAAGGTATGTCCACATCCTAATCCCAGGGGCCTGTGTTACATTCTTTGGAAAAAGGGTCTTTGCAGATATAATTAAGGATGAGATGAGATCATTGTGGATTACCTGGTTGTGCCCTAAATCTAATGACAAATATTTTTATAAAAGAAGAAAAGACACACAGAGAAGGCAATGTGGATGGTGAAAAGTAGAGATTGGATACTAACCTGGCAGGGGAGATACCATGATCACGAAGGTGATTTTCCCAGGGCGAGGCTTATCCATTGCACTCCGAATGTGCTGACCTCTGTGATTTCCCCAAATGTGGGAAACTCGACTGCATCATTTGTGGTAGTGAGGGACTGCATTTGTGCTCTCCCCTGAAAAAAAAAAAAAAAAGTAGAGATTGGATGGGGCCACAGCCAAAAAAGTTGGCATCTACCAGTAACTGGAAGAGACAAAGAACAGGATTCTCCTCTAAGGTCCTCCAGGGTTTGTGGCCCTGCCAACATCTTGATTGTGGGCTTCTGAACTCCAGACTGTGAGACAATAAATTTCTGTTGTTTGAAATCACTAAGTTTATAGTAATTTGTTATGGCAGCCGCCACTGGAAACTAATAATACATATGGGCTGAGGGTTAGAATGTAATATGGTGGAATTTTATCTTGCACTACACTAGGAGTGCTTCCTTATCTCCAATACCTCAATTTTCATCCATTCAAGGTTTGCCTCTATTGTAAACCATATTGTAAAACAGATCCCCCCTACCTCTTTGATGAGGCATCCACTTGATTAAAGATTCCTCCTCCTGAATTCCCATTTGTAGCAATAATAGGATTCAGAGCACTGCGTTAGACTGTAGTCGTCGTCTGTCTACCACATCAGAAATCTAAAAGCACTCAAGCTAGGGAGTCACCATTCCTAACTGCACTCTTCCTTAAAGGCCCCTGTAAAATAAAGTAGTACACAGTCAGATCAATAACCACTATCAATTAGGATTGTTCTTGGATGCAAAACACCATGAAGCCATCAGGAAAAAAAGTCTTGTCTTACAAATGATGATTAAGTATACTGATAATAGTAGTAGTACTGCATGTGTAAGTGGTTTTTTGTTTAATAGTAGTTTCTACTCTAGATTTCAAAGTCCACGAAAGCCTTGTTTTCCTGTGGCCTGTCCCATATCCACCTAGCTCTTTGAAGGGCTGCTAGCTTCCCCAGGATGGAAACTTCCCCCAGGGTCCCGGCCTCCCCCTGGTGTGCCCCGGTTGTCTAACTACTCCCATCTCCTACCCGCGCGGTCCACGTCAGACCGCACTCTAGAGGGAGCCCGCGGGCCACGCACCGCCGCGGATTCATTTTCTGTGAGGCCGCCGGGTCGGCTGACCTTGTTCCAACACCTGCACCGCCGGATGCGACGGCCGATGGGGGCGCCTCCGCCAACATGGCCCCACGTGCCCTCACAGTATTCGTGAGTGGCCTCGCCTCCACCTATACACAGCCAGACACCCATCGCCGTCCCCATATGTGCCGGTGTGGCACGGTCGGGACCCTCCCCGCCTGGAAAAGCCTGGTTGCTGGTCTCCCGCAGCTTCCCAACGGGACTGTAGTCCGTCCGCTAGCTCAGGCCTAGGACGCCCGCGGTGCCCGCCCGGTCCGGCTCCAGGCAAAACCCGGAGCGACGACCGCTCGATGACTCTCGGGAGGCGGCGCGGCGCATTGAGCATGCGCAGTGGGGCAGGCCGACGCTCCGCGCAAAAAGGAAGCGTTCGTTCGCCGTAATCGGGCGGCTACGCTGGGGTATGCGGTACCGGCTAACGAGGCTGCTGCACTCCGGGTTCCCCAGCACCTTCCGTTTGGTCTTTGGCGCCCGCCTGTCGTCCCCAGAGCGCCTCTTTGGGTAAGCGGAGCACAGCGCCCGGGCCCTCGGGGCCCGCGGGTCACAGTGGTTTGGAGCTCGGGTTGCAAAGTGGTGATTCAGCACTTAAAGCTGCCGCCTCCCCTCACGCCGCCAGTCCCGCGGGCCTGGGGCCTGGACTGCTGCGCTAAGGCCGCTCTAGGGCCCAGAAGGGCGACTTGCCCGACCGGAGCGAGGCGCCTTGCGGGGAGAGGACGGCGTCCCTCGGGCGGGTGAGAACGGACCGGGGCTGTGACCCAGGGGCACGGAGCGTGTGCCACAAGTGTAGGAAAGCGAGGCGCGGGCACGAGCGCGGACCAGTCACCCCGGCCCGCTCCTGGGATTCGCGCCCTGCGGCGCCGCTCTCCCGGGAGTTTGTCTGTGAGGGGCCGGAAACACGAGGCGGAGTTGAGGGTAAAGGAATCCCGAATCCAGTAAGAGCGCTTTCCTCTCAGCCCCGCTTTTTCCTGTAGGGGCTGAGTTTCCACTACTATGTGGAAATGCCTGCTTTGGTAACCGTAAAAGTTTGCCCGCCTCCGCCTCTAGCGAGTAGACGAGTGTTGGGCTTCCGGTCCGGGGGAATTCGGGAAAAGATACCTTAGGACCCATCACAGCAGCTCCCTTGTTTTGCACCTGAGACAACCGAGGCCCCAGAGAGATGGCGTGATTTCCCCACAATTGCAGAGACTGTGGCAAAAACCAAGATTGGGACGCACGTTTTTTGCCATCCGGTGGCGTGCTCTCTGCGCATAGCTGCTCTTTTTATGCTAGAAATGCTCAGCCTGGTAGCGAACGACAAATAAGTACCCTTTACTGTGAATAAAATTGGGAAAGATGGGAAAAGGAACTGGCAAAGATGGGCAGTATTGTCTTGCCCTACTTACATATATCATTTGAACTGTAGTTTTAATACTATTTAGGACTTAGCAATTGCAGGGCATTGTGATAGACCGTCTGTGGTCTGCCATCTGTGGTCTGCCTTCCAAGGAACTTTGACTTGGTTGGAGTGGACTGAGTTGCCACGCACGAGAATATATAGCCAGCTAAACAGGATGTGTTTGATGGGGGTCAGAAGATGGACAGTATTATGGTCAGTGTGTGTGCTTAAGGAGCACAGTGCCTGGCAAAGATAAAGGAGGGCTCTGAGCTGGCTTTTGGAGGAAAGGCTCAAGAAGTGGAGGGTGGGTAGGGGTGGTTGTAATCCAGCCTAGGTGTGCAGATGAGTCTGCGTTTGGAGGACAGTGAGCAGATTAGTCTAGTTGGAGCCTTAGAGAATTTCCGTGGGGGAATTAGAAGGAAACAAGACCTGTATTATAAACGTGGGGTAATGCTACCCTGAGCTTGAATTTTAGCTGGGCTTTTCCCAGTGAATAGGAGGTAGGGAGCCATTAAGAGTTTTTGAGGTGGGGAGTGATCAAATGAAACTGGTAGTTTAGGAAATTAGCTTGGTGGCTGTGTGCAGGATGTAAGGGAGTAAAGAGATTTGAGGCAGAGAAACCGGTTGGGACTTAGTCTTTATTGCTTAAACTCTATGATGGCAATAATGGTTCTAAGAAGGCTTAATGCAAATGAAGAATCTGTGGAACTTGTTTTCCCTCTTCTGTTTACCATTGCACCGAAAAATCCACTACAACATGCAAAATGATCTGTGAGCTTAGAGAAGTGGGGATGGTAAGCATAGGCAAGGTGCCTCCCTGGGCCTCCTTCAGGTCAGAACACTTTTTGTTCTTAAATCATCGCTCATAGGCTATGTTTAGCTCCATATAGTGTACAGAATTTGTGATTTCAAAGAAAAAGCATCAGTTTTAAGTTTGATAAAACTAAAAGGTTTGTGTGTTCTACTTACAATTTGATTTTCTCTATGGTTTTCCTCCATTGCTCTTCACTTTCATTAATGAAGTCCAGGGCATGGATTGAACAGCGAGAGCTTCAAGATAAGATATTGTTCTCAGAGAGGAAAATAAGGAGCTTCAAAGTATAATGAATGAGATGAACCCTCTAGAAAGCTCTACACTAAAAATTAGTGGCTGAGGCTATTAAGGAAAATACAGGTCCAATCAAAAGGACCAGGGTATAGTTTTGGGAAGGAAAATACTAACATCAGAAGCTAGCTACCATATATTCAAATCTTAAGATAATCAATCCTACCGTACGTGGTAGGAAGAATGTGTTAACAGACATAGTTACATAGCTATTTACTGAAAGAACTGGGATTAAACCCATGTCTGTCTGGTGTCAGAGCCTGAGCTCTTAACTGTTGTATTATACTGCCTTTGCCAGTGTTAGGGCATTTATTTCCTGTTCTAACCTCTTGAGAAAGAGGTGATCTTAAAGCATTTATATAAGATCAGTTCATTTGAAAAGCAGCCTCATTGTCCTCTGTTCAGCCATATCGGATAAGTTTGGGCTGTGCAGAATTATCTGAACTATTGGGGAACCTGGAGGTAATAACTCAGTCTCTAGCAACCACTTGAAACACCTGGGCATCAGTCATCTCACTTTGCAGGCAGTTCTACTTTGCACTTCTCTATTCTGCAGGCTTTGGAAACAGTGGTGTGCCAGGTGGGATTAACTATTAAGATTCAGGCTTTTAAAAAACACTTTTAACCAGAAAATTGTCTTTTAATAGGCTCTAAAAGGACAGGATATCTTTGGGTATCTTTAATTAGTATTAGCTCAATCCACACACTGTAAAATGTTACATTCTGCCTATTTACCTTAAAGGGTTGGGGATAATCTCACCTGGGAGTATGGTGGGGAGCAGAAGTTCAAGTGTGTATTTTCATAAGAATTGGTGTCCTTTCTGTATTTCTGTTGGTATTTTAGATCTCCTAAACAGGTACCCAGAGGATCAGCCTACCTTTCAGCCAGGGTGACAAGGCTAAAGCACTCTTCTTCTATAGGGGTAGATTCTTCTAGGTATTTTGGGTTCTGGAAGTTTGATTAGGGCACAATTGCCTTGTCTTCAGTCTGTCCTCTCTCCTCTCTATCTGTTTGGTCAGCCATTATTTGAATGTCTGTTCTGTAGTGATCACTCACGGTGCCCAGCACTATGGGGGATGCAAAGATAGTGATAAATTTTGTCCTCAAGGAGCTTTAAATCCAATAGTGAGTACTTTTACTCCTTTACTTCTGCCCATTTATTTATTTACTTAAAGTATTTGTTTATTTATTTATTTATTCATTTATTTATTTTTACTGGGGAACAGTGTGTTTTTCCAGGACCCATCAACTCCAAGTCAAGTAGTTGTTCAATCCAGGACCCATCAGCTCCAAGTCAGGTAGTTGTTTTCGATCTAGTTGTGGAGGACGCAGCTGCTTCAGTGACCCATGCGGGGATCGAACCGGCAACCTTGGTGTTATGAGCACTGCGCTCCAGCCAACTGAGCTAACCAGCCGCCCCTGCCCTTTTATTAGACATCTCCACTTTTGTATTCTGTTGCTTCTTTCAATTTATTTTGAAAAGCAACTTAGTATTTTTATCACACTACTCTTCTTTTAAAAGTGGGATTTATAAAGTTCTTATAGAGTTAAAAGCTAGAAAAGCTTTTATTCCCCCCAAAGACTATATAGTTTTTCTTTGCCTTTTAAAAGTGTGTGACTGTCTTTTTGTTTGTTTTTTAAGTGGGACTCATAAGCTGCTCCCTGAGGGGAAGGTCTCAGTAAATATGACCTGATAATATTGAATGAATGAATGAATGAATGAATGATCTTTAAAACTAGCTTTCTCTGTTGATTTCCCTACTTTTGCATATGTTGGTGTTATTTTTTTCGTTTTAGCTTGAAAACTGGTGTAATCTTTGAATCTCTCTCTTTTTCCCTCACTGCCTATTCTCAAGACCAAACTCTCTTGAGTCTTTCATCCTAGTTTCTTGGAGTAAATTTGATTTTCCATTACCATCCTAGTTCAGGCCATGATCATCTTCCCTGACATCTCACATCTACAAGTTTTAGAACTGCTTTTTCCAGCCTCCTATCTTCCTACTAGTTAATCCTTATCATCAAATTAATCCTACTAATATACCACTTCTCCATGCCTTTGTCTTGCTTATATACTACTAGTAGTTCTGCCAGATTTCTAGATCAAATCCTAACTTCTTGACCTAGCATATAAGCATCTTGTAGGCTGTCCTTAGCCTAACTTGTCAACCTAACTTTCCTTTTTTCCAGTCAAACTCACTAATTTACTGTCTCTTGTACATGACCTATTCGTTCCCAATTCTAGAATGCCCTTCCCTGGTTTTTTTTTTTTTTAAGACTTTTACTGGGGAATTGGGGGATGGGAACAGCACTAGGGAACCAGAGGAAGAGGAACAGACAAGTTGCTGTCCTTTTGTTCTTCAGTCCAGCTGTGGAGGATGTTGCTTCACTGGCCCAAGTTAGCACCATCATTGCGCTCTTCCCGGGTGAGGCAGATCAGTCGCCGGCTTCAGGACGGCTCACAGTGGCTGCTGGCCGCTCACGCTGGCTACACACGGTAGCTGCTAGCTACACACGGTAGCCCATGGCAACCACTGCAGCAGGGGCTGTAGCCTACGCCGTCGCCTCACAGCAGCCCAGCTCCAGGTTGAGCTGTTGTCCAGCATCTTAGCTGTAGAGGGCAGTATCACTGGCCCTCATATGTGGGATCCGAACCGGGGCCCTCTGGTGTCCCAAGCTAACTCCCAACCAACACTCCACTCAGCCGGCCCTCCCTGTTTTCTTTAGATAATTAAATCTGTCCTTTCTAGATCACATACAAGCCACATAGTTATCTTTTTCTGAACTTAATGATTTAAAAAGATTTTGAAACGTCCATTTGACATTTAACCATGTACTGCCTTATATATTTTTTCTCTTTTAATTATTTAGTATTATACATGCCAGACTACATAGGACAAAGAAGAATAACAAACACCAGGGTACACACCATCTAGTTTAGCACATAGAACATTTCCAGTAACTTTGAAGCCCTCTGTGATCACTTCCCGATTGCAGCCTTCTCCCTCCCCTAGAGAGGTGATGTTATCGTATATTTGGATAATAATTTCTTTAATATTCTTTATAGCTTTATCAATCTGAGTATAACATGATTTTTGAGATTCATTCACATAGATGTACGCATTCACTGCTGAATGGCAGTCTTACGTGAATATGCCACTAATTATTTTTCTATTCTGTTATTGATGGAGATTTGGGTTATTTCCATTTTTTCCCCCATCACAAATAACCCATCTTGTTGGTATGCCTCAGTGCTCAATCTTTGGATATATTCTCTACCTACACTCACCCATTTAGGGTTCTCATCCAACCACATTGCTTTAAATACTATCTGTATATGCTTTGTTCAGTATGTAGCTGTGAACCACATGTGCTTATTAAAATGTAAATTAACTAAAATTAATTCAGCTTCTCAGTCACCCTAGCCATATTTCAAGTCTCATGTGGCTCAGGCTCATGACTACCATATAGGGCAGTGCACATGTAGAACATGTCCATCATCACAGAAGCTTTATGAAACTGGCCTGATCTATGTTATGACAATCCCAAATGTATATTTCTAGCCAGAACCACTCCACTGCATTTCAGATTTAGGTAGTAAGCTTCCCCCTATTCGATATTTGTCCCTGAATGTCCAATAAATATTTTGAACTCATTATGTCCAAAACCTATCTCCACATCACCCTCAAAAGCTGCCTCTCCCACAGTCTTCTCCCCATCTCAGATAATGACATCTCTATTCTTCCTCTTGTTTAGGCTAACAACTTGGAGACATCTTGAACTCCTTTCTTGTTCTTATATTCCTCATCCAGTTAGTATATATATCCAGATCCAGATCACTTCTCACTGTCACCACCCTGGTTCTGACCACAACCTTTTACCCAGATTACTGTCATAGTCTTTTAACCAGTTCCCTTGCTTATGCACTTGGCTGTCTACTTACAACCTTTTCTTGTCACCACTGACAGCATGATCTTTTTGAAGTTCAAGTCATATATCTTTGCTAGGAAATGCTTAAAACCTTGTAGTTGATCCCCATTTGATGCTGATTTTCTGGGCAAGAGAGAATATTTTAGGTAGAAAGAATGGTATTAGGAAAGGCTCAGAAGTAGGAAAATTCACAATATAATCAAGGGAAAGTAAGATTTCATCCTATAGGAAGTAGAGAGCCTCAGATACATTTTGAGCAGTAGAGTGACATATGAAAGCTATGTTTTGATTGATCTGGCTGTTTTTTGGAAGCACATTTGAAATGTAGGCAGAGGTTGATGAAGGATAGAGAAGTAGTGCAAATAACAAGGAAAGGAGAGTGTCTGCAGAAGATATATGTGAAAGAGGATTCAGCAGCTTTGATTGGGTAAGTGGGGAAATGGAGGAGTCAGAGAGGCCTAAGGTCTTGGGCCTGCGGAACTTGGAGATTAGTTCCAAGATGAGCCTAGATTAGGAGGGGCCACCAGGGTAAGGAAGGCACTTGTGGGAAGATTTCAGCTGCAGGCAGTGCGAAGAAGTCCAGCCTAGTGAGATGTCGGACCTGCCTAGTGCCGGCTGGTTTTCTAAAGGCATGACAAGAGAACTGGGTGGTCAGGTGCAGTGGTGGGGCACAGTGGCAATCTTGTAGGCCTTTCACAGCTGACTCTTAACTGTCAGGAAGTTGGATGACTCGGGGCCTCTCAGGGCAGTGGACAAGATGGAGCAATCATTAAATACCTAGAAAGCAAACCAAAATGATGATCCAGTTTGTAGATTAGTAGTTCAAGGAAGAATACAGTTAAAAGATTAGAACTAGGTTGATGAGTCCTGAACTATTACTGGAGTTTCTTAAATTTCCTCTGCCTAACAATAGAAAATGGCTCCAGAGCCTAGAACAAAACTGAGCTGTGGTGGAGGCTAGGTAGACTGAGCTGTGAGGCTCTTCCTGCTGCTGCTAATGTTAACCACAACAGGTTTAGTAGCTAGTATTTATTGAATGTCTGTGGTGTGTTTTGCTTTGTATTGGAAGCTTTCCATATGATGTCTTGATTCATGGCACAATAATTCTGTGAGAGTGGTACTGTGGTTATTTTATTCATTTTTTAAAATTATTATTTTTTATTGGGGAACAGCCATGGTCATTGGTTACACATTGCTTTCATGCTACCATGGCATAGTTGACTCTTTAAGGAGGGCGCAGCTTATAGTGGCCCATGAGAGGATTGAACTAGAACCTTGGTGTTATCAGCACGACGCTCCAACTCACTGAGTTAACTGGTTACCCCCTGGTTATTTTATTTTTGTCAGAAAAGGAGATTGAGGCTCAGAGAGGTTAACTTGTTCAAAGATGCACAACTAGTAAGTGGCTTAGCCAGTATGAATTCAAGTGGGCTCATTCAAGAACCTCAGGGATTGGCCATTATATTATCTACCTTCCTAGAGGTAGCTTGGCATCTCTGGTAGAGATGGGGAAATCAGAACAAGCAGATAGCTTTGGAAGGGAAAAACATGATAAATGGTAAGTTGGTGGTATTGAATCTGAAGTGATTGCTGGATAGGCAAGGGGAGACTGCCGGTTGCATTTGAAATGTGGATGGAACTTGATAAAAAGATCTGAGCTGATTTCCTACATCTGAGAGTTGAGTATAGAGGTGACGGTTGGCAACATTGACATGGATGGATATATGGGAAATATCTGTGTAGAGTTGCAGAGGGCCCAGGTTAAACCTTGAGGAATGCTGACATTTAGGGATAAGGAGGAAACAGGCAAAAGATGATATCAGAAGCAGAATGGTCAGAACTGTCCAGCCCAAGAGGTTTTGAGGAGAGTGGGGCCTTGGCAAAAGGCCAAAGACCATTTCAGCGGTAACCTGCAAATAAAGGGGAAGGTACACTAGTTAAATTTCATGGGATCCTACAGAGTCATTTTGAAAAAATGAGGTATTGAATTTGGAGCAATTAGATAGCAGCTGAGAAAGAGCAGGCTTGAGCAAAAGCATGGTGGGGGAAATAAGGAAACTAATAGTGGTAGCTGAAAGAAAGAAGCTAGTGGAGGAGGACAGTGTCTAAGAGAGGGCCTGGAAAAAGTGGATATGAAGGTACAGGTGAAGAGGATAGCATTGGAAAAGAAAGATTTCTTCAAGATAGGTCTTGATTTAGAAGGGCAGTTGCTTATGAAGATTTTTTTTTTTAATTTAAAAAGATAAATTGAGACCCTTATAACTCTTGGCCTCAGCTTTCCTCATTTAAAGAAAGGATCCTCTAGTTCCAAGTTCTGCCATTTTTCTTTTCCATGTACAAAAGGGTCCAGTAGGTAGTATGGGTTCCAGTTCAGTTAATATAATGATCCAGCTTTACAGACTACTTTATATTAGGACGTGTAGAGTTATATTTGGGGCCTGGAGCTCTGAAGGAGCAAGAGTTCCTTATAATGGTATCCCTGGTACTTAACACAGTTTCTGACACATAGTAGTTGTTCAGTATTTGTTGGATAAATTTATCCAGGGACACAGACTCCTGGAAGTAGGGAGCCATAAACACAATTCAATTTTTGCTAACAGTTTGCCATTTTCAGACTCTAATGTCAAGGTAGCAGTGTGTTTCTCACAAAGAAATTATAGGTTGGAGTGTATTTCCAAGATTACTTGTAGTTTTGAGTAACTCATAGGAATTAAGTTGGTTTGAATAGGGATGGGACATAAGAGATAGAAGAGTGTGGTGGGAAAGAGGTCTGTATACAAAGGCTCAGTTCAGCTGGAGTCTAGTCTTGGTTTTGCCATTAGTTTGGCTGTGTGGTTGTGGGTGCTGGGCCTGATCAGCTTTAACATTCATACTACCTCCATGAACCTGAGACCTTATGTTTTTTAACAACTCTAGATTTTCAAGATCGTGAGAGGTAGCTGGCCAACCAGAATTCTTAAGGTTCGAAGCCTGTACCCACTGCCGCCACTTGAGCCTGCCAAAGCACTGGTACAGCTGCTGCCCTCTCACTACTACCTCTAGAAACAGTCTTGCCAGTAGTGACAGCAGCGAGACCCAATCACCCCGTTCTCGCCCTCCCTCAAGAAGCTCCAGATGGCGTCTTCCATGGGCGACGTGGCTGATAGCACAGAACCAACGAAATGTATGTTTTCCTTCCAAGGGTTAGCTGAGTTGGCACATCGGGAATATCAGGCAGGAGATTTTGAGGCAGCTGAGAGACACTGCATGCAGCTGTGGAGACAAGAGCCAGACAATACTGGTGTGCTTTTATTACTTTCATCTATACACTTCCAGTGTCGAAGGCTGGACAGATCTGCTCACTTTAGCACTCTGGCAATTAAACAGAACCCCTTTCTGGCAGAAGCCTATTCGAATTTGGGGAATGTGTACAAGGAAAGAGGACAGTTGCAGGAAGCAGTTGAGCATTACCGGCATGCATTGCGTCTCAAACCAGATTTCATCGATGGTTATATTAACCTGGCAGCCGCATTGGTAGCAGCAGGTGACATGGAAGGGGCAGTACAAGCTTATGTCTCTGCTCTTCAGTACAATCCTGATTTGTACTGTGTTCGCAGTGACCTGGGGAACCTGCTGAAAGCCCTGGGTCGCTTGGAAGAAGCAAAGGCATGTTATTTGAAAGCAATTGAGACGCAACCGAACTTTGCAGTAGCTTGGAGTAATCTTGGCTGTGTTTTCAACGCGCAAGGGGAAATATGGCTTGCAACTCATCACTTTGAAAAGGCTGTCACCCTTGATCCCAATTTTCTGGATGCTTATATCAATTTAGGAAATGTCTTGAAAGAGGCACGGATTTTTGACAGAGCTGTGGCAGCTTACCTCCGTGCTCTAAGCTTGAGTCCCAATCATGCAGTGGTGCATGGCAACCTGGCTTGTGTATACCATGAGCAAGGCCTGATAGATCTGTCAATAGACACCTACAGGCGAGCTATTGAACTGCAGCCACATTTCCCTGATGCTTACTGCAACCTAGCCAATGCTCTTAAAGAGAAGGGCAGTGTTACTGAAGCAGAAGACTGTTATAATACAGCTCTTCAGCTGTGTCCCACACATGCAGACTCTCTGAATAATCTTGCCAATATCAAACGAGAACAGGGGAACATTGAAGAGGCAGTTTGCTTGTATCGCAAAGCATTAGAAGTCTTCCCAGAATTTGCTGCTGCCCATTCAAATTTAGCAAGCGTACTGCAACAGCAGGGAAAACTGGAGGAAGTGCTGATGCATTATAAGGAGGCTATTCGAATCAACCCTACCTTTGCTGATGCCTACTCTAACATGGGGAACACACTAAAAGAGATGCAGGATATTCAGGGAGCCTTGCAGTGTTACACTCGTGCCATTCAGATTAACCCTGCATTTGCAGATGCCCACAGCAATCTGGCTTCCATTCACAAGGATTTAGGGAATATTCCAGAAGCAATAGCTTCTTACCACACTGCTTTGAAACTTAAACCTGATTTTCCTGATGCTTATTGTAACTTGGCTCATTGCCTGCAGATTGTCTGTGATTGGACAGACTATGATGAGCGAATGAAGAAGTTGGTCAGTATCGTGGCTGACCAGTTAGAGAAGAATAGGTTGCCCTCTGTGCATCCTCACCATAGTATGCTATATCCTCTTTCTCCTGGCTTCAGGAAGGCTATTGCTGAGAAGCATGGGAACCTCTGCTTGGATAAGATTAATGCCCTTCATAAACCACCATATGAACATCCAAAGGACTTGCAGCTCAGCGATGGTCGACTGCGTGTAGGATATGTGAGTTCAGACTTTGGGAATCATCCTACTTCTCACCTTATGCAGTCTATCCCAGGCATGCACAATCCTGGTAAATTTGAAGTATTCTGTTATGCCCTGAGCCCAGATGATGGCACAAACTTCCGAGTGAAGGTGATGGCAGAAGCCGATCATTTCCTTGATCTTTCTCAGATTCCATGCAATGGAAAAGCAGCTGATCGCATCCATCAGGATGGTATACACATCCTTGTAAATATGAATGGTTATACCAAGAATGCTCGAAATGAACTCTTTGCTCTCAGGCCAGCTCCTATTCAGGCAATGTGGCTGGGATACCCTGGGACTAGTGGAACATTTTTCATGGATTATATCATCACCGATCAGGAAGCTTCACCAGCTGAAGTTGCTGAACAATATTCTGAGAAATTGGCTTATATGCCCCACACTTTCTTTATCGGTGATCATGCTAATATGTTCCCTCATCTGAAGAAAAAGGCAGTCATCGATTTTAAGTCCAATGGACACATTTATGACAATCGGATTGTTCTGAATGGCATGGACCTCAAAGCATTTCTTGATAGTCTACCAGATGTGAAAATTGTCAAGATGAAATGTCCTGATGGAGGAGACAATGCAGACAGCAGTAATACAGCTCTTAATATGCCAGTTATTCCTAGGAATACTGTTACAGAAGCAGTTATTGAAATGATTAACAGAGGACAAACTCAGATAACAATTAATGGATACAGTATTAGCAATGGAGTGGCAACTACCCAGATCAACAGTAAGGCTGCCACTGGAGAAGAGGTTCCCCGTACCATTATTGTAACCACACGTTCTCAGTACAGGTTACCGGAAGATGCTATTGTGTACTGTAACTTTAATCAGTTATATAAAATTGACCCTTCTACTTTGCAGATGTGGGCAAATATTCTGAAGCGAGTTCCTAATAGTGTGCTGTGGCTGTTGCGTTTTCCAGCAGCAGGAGAACCTAATATTCAACAGTATGCACAAAACATGGGCCTTTCCCAGAACCGTATCATTTTTTCATCTGTTGCTCCTAAAGAGGAACATGTTAGGAGAGGCCAGCTGGCTGATGTCTGCCTGGACACTCCAGTCTGTAATGGGCACACCACAGGGATGGATGTCCTCTGGGCAGGGACACCCGTGGTGACTATGCCAGGAGAGACTCTTGTTTCTCGAGTTGCGGCTTCCCAGCTCACTTGTTTAGGCTGTCTTGAGCTTATTGCTAAAACCAGACAAGAATATGAAGACATAGCTGTGAAACTGGGAACTGATCTAGAATACATGGAGGAGATTCGTGGCAAAGTCTGGAAGCAGAGATTATCTAGCCCTCTGTTCAACATCAAACAATACACCATGGAACTAGAGCAGCTCTATCTACAGATGTGGGAGCATTATGCTGCTGGCAACAAACCTGAACACATTATTAAGCCCATTGAAGTCACTGAGTCAGCTTAAAGAAAAATTATGCACAGGCGAATTACCCTGTACCTGAGCCTCAAAAAGGGAACTAGATGATGTACTTTTTACTTATCTGTACAGTATCACGTTGCAGATGGGTGACAAGTAATGATAATAGAATAGCACAGCGGGACTTGCTTCCTGGGTGATAGGGAGAGTCACAAAAGATGGGAAACTGCTATTCTACAAGAAATCGCCATAGAATTTTTCAGCAACCAGGCTATACATAGGTCTGGAAGGTCTGCTCTCCATTGGTCTTCCATGGAATGGTTAATATGGAGGGAGATCAAGATTGTCCAGTTGTTTTGTGATTTCATGGATTGACTGAGTCTTCTGAATTTTTTTCTTTATATTTGGGGTATTAGAACTTTTAAAAATGTTTGGTTTCAGGTGTTTTTGTTCATGTGAAGTGTATATGATTCTCTTTAGGGTAACGTTTTAAGCTAAAATGTTGCTCCTTGTTTTAGTTTCTAAACTCTACAGATTAGTGGGGAGTTTGCTGTTGTAGTCTTTTTATACATTTTATAAACCACTTGAACCTAAAAAAAACACACACAAACAAAACTAATCTCTGTTAGAACCCCAAAAGGAATTTTGCCTTGCCCTCTAGCTGTACTATGGCTCTGAGCAGAAGCAGTTCTCATAATTGTTTAGAGTCATGATGCTAGTATAATTGAATTTCTGGGAGTAGAGATTATATAATTGTTTTCTGAAGTGATATATAAATAAAGAATGTTTCTTTGACGTCTTATGTGATACGTATCAATATTTATAATCAGTTGATGCTCTTAACAGTTTTTATTTTTTAAATAGCTCTGGTTTTCGTTTTAGTATAACAACGTTTCAGTCAAGATGAGCTTATGAGGAAGATCACACTGCTTATTATGGAGCTTTATGTCACAAAGGATCCAAGTTCTCTTGCAGTAGTAACTGAATAAAAAATATCCAACAATTGAGTGACTGGCATAATGGGCCCTGTAACTCATCTTTTTTTTTTTCTTCTATCCACAAAAGAGAATGGCTTGTGGGGCAAATCTAATGCATAATAGACTTTCTTAAGGCATGAGATTCTGAATTCAGTACATGCTCTGGTGATTTCTTTTGAAGAACATGTGACATATCACATATACACTAAAAATCAAATATCCTTCCCTTTAAGAGAAAACTTGAATGAATCTAATATATGGCTGATTTTTAAAATTATTTTTTATATTTCTCAAAGTAATGCAGGCAGAGTTTTAAGAGTCAAATAGTACTAAAAGGTTTACAGAGAAAAACGGCAGTTCCCTGCTCACACCATCCCTTAGTTCCTACACCCAGAGGCTCCCACCTTTAACTCTTTAAGTTAGTCAACCATTATTGAACTCTATTTATTTTGAAATTTATTCTAATATTTCTAAGTAATATGCTATATTGTTATTTCTTGATTTCTTAATTTTAGGAGTTATCCGTTGATTTGTTTTTATGGTAGGTAAAGATTTAATACTTATCCTTCCTTCTTGCCCCATCTTGTAATCATATGCCCCCATATAACCAAAACAGGTATATCACAGATTTTGGATATAGTAGTACTCAGTGTTTAGACTATTATGACTTTATAAATATTGTTCACTGCCAAGCCAAACAGCATAATCTGATTATATATTTTTTCTTGTTCACTTTTTGGTTTTTGCTGTGTTTTGTCATTTTCATAATTTTCTATTTACTTATTTCTGATTTTTTCCACTTGCTTCCACAGCACTTAGTACAGTTTTCCACATGATCAAATCTATTAAATGATCTTTTAATTCCGTATTTTTTCCTTGGAGACTTTCCTTTTAGACACCTCCCCCCAGCTTCCGCATGGACTAGTTTTGCTCTAGGCCTGCTGCAAAGTGGTTGCCTAGAATTTCCCTTTGCTTCTCTCTTATAATGGATCTGTTTCTTGGATCGGATATTTAATTCTATCTTGGTCTGTTCTTATTCAAGAGATACATGTTATATTTGGAACATGTCTTCCAGTAGCTTCTGCTTCTTGAGAAAGAGCACATGGGAAATAATTTTTTTTTTAAGATTTTATTGGGGATCGGGGAAGCGGAACAGACAAGTTGCTGTCCTTTTGTTCTTCAGTCTAGTTGTGGAGGAAATCGCTTCACGGGCCCATGTTGGTATTATCATTGTGCTCTTCCCGGGTGAGGCATTCGCTTGCCAGCCGTTGGACAGCGGCTCACAGCAGCTCACGAAAGCTCACACCCGCTGCTGGCCAGCCCCACTGCAGTCTACGCCGTTGCCAGTGACTCACAGCAGCCCAGCTCCAGGTCGAGCTGTTGTTCACCATCTTAGCTGTAGAGGGGGCAGCGTCACTGGCCTGCATGTGGGGTGAACTGGGCCCTGCTGCTCAGAACTGTGTCCCAAGCCAACTTCTAACCAACGTGCCACTCGGCCGGCCCGGGAGATAACTTTTTAGAAGAGCTAATGATTTCCTAAACAGAAAAGTAGAGATCTGAGTTTTGGTGTGAGTTTACACATTTGTAGAACAAGTCTACAAAATTGAGAGAGATGACCTGAATGGCTTCTACTCCATCCAGCTCTAGAATTCTAGGATTCTAAATACTTGAGAATTAAATAATTTTACAGATTATTTAGCAAATGGTTGAAATAACAAACTTTCAAAGAGACCCTTTGCAGGACTTTGACAAAAAAGACATAGACTTTTCTTATTTTCTCCTTTGTTTTATTGTTGATTGAACTTAAAGATTTGCTTTTATGGAGCAAGTACATTTGAAATTTTGCTTTTCAAGTAAGAAAAAATGACAAATATTAGCTGTATTTTTTTTTATTCTTTCTTCAGTAGGTGAAAGTTTCCACCTTCCCCACTTCCCTTGGGCTACTCTGTGGTTTTTATGTTCTGCTGATGGCCAATACAAGTCACCATGTACATATCATTAACCATCATCCGAAGAGGCTGGGAGTATTGGTCACCATTTAATCTAGTGTAAAATATTCTTGAGCTCAGAGTCTGTTCCAGGAAGATATCAGTGAGCTCGACTCCAGGTTCTGAGTTTGTACTCCAGACTACTGTCCAGTAACAAAATGTCTTATAATCTCTGTAATTCTATTCCCTTGGGAGTCAGTGTGAGGTAGTGGAAAAGTCGCACTGTAGTAGTCAGAAGACCTGAGTTAAAGCCCTCTGGCATTTTTATCTTGAATGGGTTACTTTGCATGGGCCTCTTTTTACTAGGCATGGGACTAAGTAGCTTCAAAATCCTTATTAGTCCTAATTTTTTATTTCTGAACAACATTGGCTTCTTGTATACAGTTTCTTTCCTTGTGCTAAACTGTCACTACCTCCTGACTTTCTATTTACTTATTTCTGTGTTGTTTTTATTTTAGAGAGTCTGCCAGCTATAATGCAGGCTGTTGTGGACCAGTATGCTGGGATATGGCATGCAGATAATGTTCTTTTTTCAGTTGTTATTTTTAAAATGTGTGTCAACACTTAAAAATCCCAAGAGTTGAGACTCTTTAGGGAAAACATGGAGACCTGGTGCCACTGGTGCCACATTCTTACCTGGCAGCAGTTGGCCTAAGTTAAGATTTACTTCCCTTTCAGATGAGCGTGTTTTCCTTTACACCACAATTCCACCTCACCCCGCTTTGCTCACTTACATTACTTCTTGGACTTTGTAAGCATTTAAATTTGTGACCCCAAATGATTGGAGGAAATCAGCCTTATTACAGTTGCCCCCCATTATTTTCAAGGTATCCTTTCAAAGTCCCCTTCCCCCCCCCAGTGGATGCCTGAAATTGCCGATAGTATGCAGCCCTATATACTACACTATGTTTTTTTCCTATACATACATACCTGTGAGAAAGTTTACATTATAAATTAGGCACAGTAAGAGACTAACAACAGTCACTGATAATAATAAAATAAAACAATTATAATAATATAATAAAAGTTATTGAATGTGGTCTCTCTATCTCTGTGATAACCAGTCTGATCACCGAAAACTGCTACTACATGACTTAACAGGTAGGTAGTATATACAGCATGGATGTGCTGAACCAAGGGATCATTCATGTCCCAGGTGGGACAGAGTGGATGGCACGAGATTTCATCACACTACTCGTAAAGGCTTGCAATTTAAAACTTATAAATTGTTTATTTCTGGAATTTTCCATTTAATATATATATATGTGTGTGTGTGTGTGTGTATTTTTTTACATTTAACAAACGTGTTCATCATGCAGAGAAAGGAATAGGTAATGGTGAAAAATTTCTCAAAAACAGAATAGTATTTGGATGCCAATGAACCTTTTAATATTTTGGACCATGGTTAACTGTGGGTAACTGAAACTTCAGAAAGCAAAACTGCAGATAAGGGGGAACTATTATAGTTTTTAGTGATACTGCAGGTTTTTGATAGTAAAAATGAAACAAAATACATACAAATTGCTCAGAAACTACAGAAAGGATTATGTAATCAGGACTACCCCTGGTTCACAAAGAATTATCACATCATCTTATTTGATCCTCCTGGCAACTGTGTGTGATTGACAGAAATGAAAAGTCCCCCAGTCCTAAAGAAGTGAATGTAGACAGCCCTGCTGCCTCTGAATTCACTGTTGTCTAGAACTGGAGCAAGGATGGAGTGACACTAGGTGGGTGTAGAAGAGCATGTTAAGTTTGCTTCAAGGAAGGTAGGTAGAGCTCTAAGCCTGGACTAGGTGGTCTTGCATAAAAGGAGTAGTAAGTCAACTTCTCCCAATCTTTTTTTTTTTAAGATTTTTATTGGGGAATTGGGAGAAGGGGAACAGACAAGTTGCTGTCCTTTTGTTCTTCAGTCTAGTCGTGGAGGAGACGTTGCTTCACTGGCCCAAGTTGGCACCATCATTGCGCTCTTCCCGGGCGAGGCAGATCAGTCGCCGCCTTCTGGACGGCTGCTCACGGCGGCTGCTAGCCACTCACGGCGGCTGCTGGCCGTGCATGCTGGCTGCCAGCCACACACGGTAGCCCATGGCAACCCACTGCAGCAGGGGCTGCAGCCTACGCCATTGCCGGCAACTCAAGGCAGCCCAGCTCCAGGTTGAGCTGTTGTTCAGCATCTTAGCTGTAGAGGGCAGTGTCACTGGCTCTCATATGTGGGATCCAAAACCGGGGCCCTCTGGCGTCCCAAGCCAGCTCTTAACCAGTGCGCCACTCGGCCAGCCTAACTTCTCCCAATCTTTGAGGTGTCTTGAGATGCCCAACAAGAAGAGAGCAGGAAAGGATAACAAATTAGTGTACAGTACATCAAGGAGGTGATGAGTATAATGTAGAAGAGTTGGGAAGATCACAAGAAGCAAATGAGTACATTAGGGTCTCTGGTAGGTCAGGTGACATAAATAAGACAGATGGGAACACTGACACTGGAAAGATACCATTCCTAGAAGCTGAGGAGACAAGGTTATCTGGCCAGTTAGACACATAGTTAAAATCGACTTATTAAAAAAGGTAAATGGATATTTGTACTTAAACTTATAAATCAACCAGCCACACTGGTACTAATTAATATGATGATTGAGCAAAATACAAAACATCTTTCTACAAATATTAGAGTCATGAACAAATTAGGGGTTGTAGTAATATACATACTATAAACGTTAGCATGTATCAGTACTTCATTTCTTTTTATTGCTGAATAGTATTCCATTATATGGATGTACCACATTTTATCCATTCTCCATTAATTTCTTACAATAATGTTTTTCATTTTTTATAA